ACCTTGTGCAGGTTCTTTAGCCGAGGTGGCAGGTTGTCCCGGATCATCTTCATGGCTTTGAGGGGTGGCTCGTTGAAGTACGGGGGTTCCCCGTCTACCATCTCAATCACCATGACTCCCAGAGACCAGATGTCCACCTGGTGGAGGTGCAGAAGGGAAGAAGACTGAGCTGCAGAAGGGAAGCCAGTCCTTGGCAGGCAAGCGGAGCCCTGGGGAAAGGTGATTCTGCCTTTCCATCTTCTTGCTGGGTCTGGAACATTCTCTCCCAGGCCCTTACCTGTCACCCTCCCCAGGTAGTCACCTGAAGGACATTTCTATGGTCCTGCTCACTCAGAGCCCACGGCTTCTTTTTTCTAACCACAACAGATTTCCTCACTGAAACTCATCTCCCTCCATCCCATGCTCGGTAATGCCCTGCAGCCCAGGGCGAGTTGTGACCCAGCTGGATTATCAGCACTCAGGACACGGTAAACCGAGCCAATCTGAGTCAACCCTAAGGACGTGTGTCATGGAGCTGCCAGGGTGGCTTCTGCCTGAGTGAAGATCATGCTGAGGAAACCCAAGCCAAGGAGGCAAAGACCCTGGGACAGGCCGACTGGGGGGCCCTAACACCACAGTGCTAAGGACTACGCTCTGCTAAGTTCCTTTCAGCCTGGTTTCTGCCATACACAGGCAATCCTGTCAGAAATGGCCTCTAGTCACACTAGCTTTCCCTCCAACTGCGACCTCTGTTCCAGCCCACAGGTGCCTGGTTATGTGCTTTTCCATGGAGGTCTTTTCCGCACCAGGCACAACAGGTCAAGTCCTGCTGGCTGTGTGAAGCAGGTCAGTGGAGGGCAACAGGGATGGGCGAGGACTGTAGCCCAAAATAAGTGTCTGCCCCTTTCAACAAGGACACAGTGATCTCAGGGGTGCTGACCATCGTCATGTGGGAATTTGGGGTCCAGGTGGCTTTATCACTTGGTTTTCTGCCAGAGGATGGAAATTCAAATTTCTACACAAGAATTTAAAATGCTTCCAAGAGCCTCTTTAAGTCACCAGCTGGGAACAGGCCTTCTGTGGCCTCCGTGCCAAGTTGTCAGGCAGCCCCACATCCAGTTCAGCTCAGCATTCTGTTCCAACTGCCGAGTGGTAGGCCCGGCTTAGGACCAGGACTCAGTCAACAGAGAATGAATGAGTGAAAGCCTTCTTGTCTTGGTCTAAGCACCTATATCTCCTCTCCCACGAAACCATCCCTGGTGACAAGTCCTCAGACTGAGCCCACTTCCTCACTGCCCCCCTCTCCAGCTGTGCCTGGGCCATCAGCGCCAGCCCCTGCTGGCTGTGACGGCGTCTGCGCTCACCTCTGGTCCATAGGGAAGGCGGGAGATGAGCTCAGGAGCCATCCAGTAGGGCGTGCCCACCAGCGACTTCCTCCGTGGTACCTCCTTGCTTACCTGGGCACAGAACCCAAAGTCTGACAGCTTCACCTGGGGCAGGGTGGAGGCAACCGGGTCAGAGGGGCCAGTAAGGGGAGATGGGACAGAGGTGTCCACCTAGAGAACACCTCAGCTGAGGATACACTTGTTTTCCCTGGTGCAGGCCAGAGGCAGAGCTGGGCTCTGAGGCCAAGTTTTTGAAAGACTTTATCACCTACTGGCTTTGGGCCTCAAGGTACGTCATTTCCCTAGAGTTGTGAAGTGTCTGTGAGAGACAGTTGAGATCTGATCTGGGAGACAGAGTGGGTGCTGGATAAACTCCAGCCCACTGTCCTGGTGCCTTTTTCTGCAGGCCCTTCTCTGAGCATTCCGTGTATGCAAACACCCACAGCAGTGCCACAAGATGAGGGCCACCAGCACTCCTACTTTTCTAAGGGGTCAACATTGCTGTGCTTTGCCCAAAGTCACAGAGCTGGTGAGAAGCAGAGTTGTGTGTGACACCAGGTAGACTGACTCAAGTCTATTTCTGTAACCACCTGTGAACACCGAGTTCTGGGCCCCAAGCTCGACCACCAACACTTGATTCCTTTCTGGACCCTTCCCACAAGTCTGGGAAGAAGAAATTATGATATTACACCACCCTGTGTACAAGGAAGCTGAGCTCAGGCAGGTATGTACACAAAAAAAAGGTCAGCCTGTGGCTGTGAGCTTGGACCTTGTGCTCTAAGAACAGGAAGAAGGACAGGCTACATCTCAGACACTGACATTAGGAAGCCCACTGGTCCAGGTGTAGACCTGAGAAGGGACCCCAGCATCTGGTGGCCACCAGCTGCACTGAGGCTCCTGAGGGAAGTGGCCAAGTCCCACACACATCAAAGGTTGAGCCTGGTCTGGCTCTAACAGCTATGCCCTAGGTCTGCTCCCTGAAGGAAGGAGTTCTTCAGGTCACAGATCTGAGAGGGTCTGAGGGGATACAGCCCTATTCTTGCAACCAGGTCCCTAGGTTCAAGGATCTGTACCTTATTTTCAGACTCACAGACCCACTCAGACCCCTGTGGAGTTCTGTTCCTTCTCACTCAAGAAAACAAACATACACAAAATTACACAATTTCAGGAGACACTTGGATGCCCCTCACAAAATATCTATAGTAATCCTTAGATTTTTATGGACTCCAGAATCAAAGACCCAAACCCCAGAATCAAGGAACCCAAAGAAATAACCCTCATCTTTATGGGCTGGTGAGGGAATCACCAACTTATGAGAGAATCTAATGACAGTCAAGGTCTATTGCTCAACAAAACTGAAACCAAAACCACATCCACACTGGGAATAGAAATCCACTGTGAGGGCCATCTATGTACCCCAGATTTGGAATTCACATCTGAAAGCTGGGAGGCTGGCTGGGGTTCAAAGTCCCCGATCCAGGGTGCTCAACTGGGTAGGAGCTCTCATGGAGCAAGATGTGTACAGGGGAGCAGTGGCTGTCTGCCCACCGTCCTCCCATCTGGGCACAGGGAGAATTATATTTCCCAGCATCCCATGTGGACAGAGCTCCTGTCAGCTTGCATGAGGGGCACAATGCAGGAGGGTGGCCCCGCCTTGGTCAGGAACGGGTGCTTTAGCAGCTCGGCTGCCGTGGCACGCTGGGCAGGGTCCCGCACCAGCAAGCGGTCCAGAAAACCCTTCAGGGAAGGCGACACCTGAGGAGAGACGGAGACGTGAGTCAGGGGGAAGAGGGTCAGAGAGAAGGCCCTGGCCCTGGTGAGTGCCAGTTCCAACTGGACTCTGGAGAGGGCTGCTTCCTCCTCAGTCAGATGGGCTGACTATTCACAGTCCAGGGAATAGGCAGAGGTCAGAGTGTCCTGAGCTTTGAGTGGGAGATACAGACCCAGAAGGCTCTGCCAGGAGGATAGCTCCCCTGCCCCCAAAATCTAGGTGGTCTGGCAAGTAGCTGAGTACTCATCCCCTGGGCCTGGCTGTGGTTATGTGTGTTCAGCCAGGCTGTTCCAGCAACAAGCTCCGGGGAGGGAAGAGCTTGGGGACCCCATGTGCTCTGCTCACATTCAGCTGCAGAGTCCTCCATACCAGCCTGTCCACATGGACACTCGGGGTCCACAGGAGGGGCAACCGGTAACTGCACTGGCCATCCACATCCTGCTGGGCATCACCACCCCTAGAACTCCCCAAAGAGGGCCAACCTTGTGCAGGTTCTTTAGCCGAGGTGGCAGGTTGTCCCGGATCATCTTCATGGCTTTGAGGGGTGGCTCGTTGAAGTACGGGGGTTCCCCGTC